ATATATATATATATATATATATATACTTAATATTGTATATTTACAGAACAACAATACCTCTGCTAATTTTTGTGTAAAATGTTTGTATTTAAAGCAGTATCCTGTTGCATTTGAAAATAATTTACTTTCAATCCAATTGACTAGTTTGTTCAAAGATGATTTCCTTTTGTATCTCATTCAAAATATCGATTATATGATCCTAAAAATATTATTAACTATTAGTAATAAAAATCAAATATATCAAAATAGTATCTTATGATTCTGTTTACATAAATATCACATTGTGCAACTTTGCAAAAAAAAATTATAATCTGAAGCCCCAGCAATTAAAACATTTAAATCATCTGATCTATGAAGAGTAAAAAAGTAAACCAAAATATGTTATTACATATTATTAATTTGATTTGATTTCATACTATCATACTTTCACAAAATAATGGGGTTCTGTATCCTTTTCAAAACCTATATTTTCATAAAATGGTTTGGACGATCCCAACACAGCTGGAACATCAGAAGATCTTATAGCATCATTAACTATATCAGTTGTCACAACCCCACCTGTGGGGTGTGCATATGTTTTTATATTCTGAAAGTGAAATTAATGCAATTAAAGAATTTGTAAATAAATTAAAGAGCAAATATGAGTTTACTTTACATGAACTAATTCATATAATTTATAAGTGGCATCATCAGCAAGTCTAGCACAAAATTCTGAAGAAAGTTTCAGATCATCCGAATATAAAAATTGTTCAGCAAAGCATTCAATTGTATCACTTTTAAAAACCGCGAATTGTCCCTAAAATAAATGAAGTATTTTAATTGCTACAATTTGTTAGAAAAAATTAATATTAGCATATACTTCTGTTGAATCGTTGTCTCGTTTCACATCATCTTGATTATCCGAAGATGTTGATTTTGTATGCTTTCGGCTTTTTGTAGTTCCTGACTTTTTTTTTTATGGTTTTTGCTTGTTGATGGAGATGTTTTATTTACGTGTATCATGTTGAAACTAAAGATAATTTTAATGCTGCAACTATGAAGTTTTTCTTTGAAGATATATTCATATATTTACATATATATATATGCCTTAAATTTTCATAACCATTAAAAACGAATTGTAAATGACAGATGTAAAATAACAGATAACAAATGAAAACCAACTGGATCATAAGCAGAACAGCAACGCCGGAAAAACTTTAAAAAATACTAGACGGAATAGATGGAGGAAACATAGAAAACTGTAAATACATGGTAAATACATAGATTAAAGAAGAGTATGTGTAAACATAGATAAAAGAAGAGTATAAGTGTGTAAATATCAAATTAAAAAAATTAAATCTAGTTTCATCTTGCTATCATTTATTTATAGCATATAACTAGGTTGAAAGTGGCATTTAGCCTTAAGGCGAGTTACATTAACTTCCGAAATGAGTAAGAATTGACTTAATCAATCTAAATTAAAATTTAGATAAAATTTTCAAAAATAAAATTATCGCTTTCAATTAAATCTGAACATTGCGATTTCGAATAGAATATTCAAAAAAAGGTTTTCAAAAATCGGCATTTTTTTTTTCAACAGTTAATTTCAAGAAAATAGCCCGGTAGATTTTCACCAAAAACTAATCAGCACGATTCCCAACTAATATCTTTCGAAAGGTTTTTGAATTTTTAAAATCGATTCAAAATTGCGGGCTAAAATGCGTAGACGAAAAGTTACTCACTTTTCTACTATTAACAAAGAAACGGTTAGGCTGATCATCGTGCAAAATTGATAAACGCTAGCCCTCATCGGGATACATAAAAAAAATTAAATTAAATGGTATTAATTTTTTGAAATCGATCCAACCGTTTTTGAGAAAACGTCGATATGCGGCAAAAAAATCTGTTCACACACACAGACACGCACGCATACTTTTTCCAAATTCGGTCTCATTCGATTCAGAATGGCTTGAAACGTCGAAAAAAAAACTTCTCCTTCGGGAAGTTGATGATGGTAATAAATCATGAAAAGGTTGGAAATTCATGTAATCAGTCAAAGTTTTAATTAATCAATAATTATAAAGATAATTAAGTAAACTAAATATTACCAAATAATATTAGTTTCGTTTAAAAGCTAATATTGCAATTCTTCAGAAAATGTGACCAGCAATTTTTGGAGAAGTTCATTCATAGAACAGTTTAATATTTTTTTCATTTTAAAAACTAAAAAAATATAACTATGATAGCATTTTTCAAAAGAAATTATTAAGAATGAAAACAATTATGATCTCAAACAGTTTATTATATTCATTACAAGCATCCTAACTTCATAATCTAACTAAAAGCGATCATGACTGTCCCTCAACATTGGTTTTACCAAGAGTTTTCTCCTTATTCCTTTCATTACATGTTTTTCTAAAGTTTCCAAATATTGTGATTTATTTTCTTGCTTAAATCAAAGATCACATAACTTTTTAAAAACTTTAGGATCCTGCTCCACCTAAAATACCAGACATATTAGTTAGGTTTTTTTTTTCTTCTAGAATTTTTAAAGTTGTGTTTTGTTTCCTTGCTTATCAAGCCAAAGATCATATAACTCTTCAAAAGTTTTAGGTTTCTTCAAGATATTGGACACCAAAGCTAGATCTACTCCATTTTAATTTAGAGTTTTTAAATATAGTGTTGTACTTCCTTGGTTATCAAATCAAAGATCATATAACTCTTTAAACGTTTCAGAAGTTGACCCCTCTGCCCCATTCAAATAGTGGATATTCAAACTAAACCTCCATCACTGTTCTTACAATTACTTGCTTATCAAACAAAAGATCATACAACTCTTTAAAAGTGTTTGGAGCTAGACCTACTCCATTGCCTTTTAGAGTATTTAAATATTGTGTTTTATTTTCTTCCGCATTAAACAAAAGATCAAAAAATTCTTTAAAAAGAGCATTAGATACTGATATTCAAACGAAACCTCCACTGTTCTTTCAATTACTTGCTTATCAAACCAAAGATCATACAACTCTTTAAAAGTGTTAGGAGCTAGACCTACTCCATTGTCTTTTAGAGTATTTAAATATTGTGTTTTATTTCCTTCTGCATTAAACAAAAGATCAAACAATTCTTTAAAAGGAGCATTAGATACTGCTCTACCCGCTCTACCTAAAATACTGAACCTATTAGAAAGTTTTATTGACTCCTTTTTTAGAGTTTTTAAATATTGTGTTGAGTTTTCTTGCTCATCAAGCCTAAGATAATATAACTCTTTAAAAGTTTTAGGAGGCTCAGATCCAGATGAACCTAAAAATGTGGAAACATTAGTCAGATTTATTTCTTCTCCTTTTAGAACTTCTAGATATTTTGTCCCTTCTCCTGTAATTAAAAAATCTACAAACTGATTAAATGCAAGCAAAGTGTTTCTTTTCTACCAACCACCCTTCTAGCAAATTTTATTTCTCCATTAGACAAATCCTGTTTAGGTTCACCTTGTAAATTACTAGGAAATACCGAATCTTCATTACTAATAACATTTATATCCTTGTGCGCCCTATTTGGTGCTTTATTATCTTTATTCATTACATTCTTCTTGTTTTATGATTTTCCTTATCAGTACTCCTTGAAGAATCATTTTGTTATGTGAAGAATTTTCAATATCTGGCAATAGTATAGAAATATAAAATTGAGAAATATTTGAATTAGACCTACTATATTACCATAAACTTCTTCTCTAGAAACTTTTATGCTTCTCTTTATATCTTTTTCCATATTACTGAGAAGTGGTACATAGTGGTTCCTATAATTCACTATGTAAATAATATTTTCTGTACCTACCTTACTGTTAACAACATATGTTAACCATCTATCTCTTCATCTAGCAATTAAATAAATCTTACTTTTATGCCATACTATTTACAGATCATTTTTATCCTTCAATTTATGGTCTTCTCCGTATTACATTTTCTAACTTTAGAATTTTTATTTCTGAACTACAGCTTGTATTTTCAATGCCTTCTACAAAATTCAATACGCAGAATATATTTACAAAGTTTTTTACCTTCTCCCTTTAAAGCACTATGTTATCATTAACCAGTGATTGAATAATTTGTTTTGCATATTGCTTACAATTTACTCGTAAGGATTTTAAATTAAATCTTGTATTACCTTCAATCATACCTTTTATGTTTTAATTCGTTCAATACTTAAGGTATGGAATCAAAGAAACAATTCTCTTCTCCCTATATCAGATCCTATCTTAAAGCCCGTATGCAATTTTTTCCTTAGCGTCTCTAAAAGTTGATAAAGCTTCTTTTCTTCCTCTTCACTTCGCTTTTGCATTTTTAACCTACTGAAAATTGAAATAGTGCTCTTACTATTAGGAGCACACCTATAGAGCACACATTATTGTAGTGTCGAGAACTAGTAAAATCACTAGACCTTTTAATCCCTGCTATCATATTGACTCACCATAGTAAACTATTCACATGATAGTTGAGAAAAAAGTTGAAAATGAAAAATGGAAAGTTATCTTTTTATGACTTACAATATAAGTATATACATGTTATATATTTCAATATTTTTTGTCATTAAATTAATAATATAAGTAATTGCTTTTGTTAAATTTACAATAATAACTGAGAGAAAAGTTTTTTTCGAATCGTGTGGTATAAGCGATTATATACTCAAATGATACATTTTACATACCCTCATTTTATCCCTTTACTACTCACTAGGAAATACCGAAGGTTACAAACATATTATTATAATGTCTAGGTATATAAACTAATGTAACCTAACCTAACTTACATGTCATGCTTTTCTTTTCACAAGTTACCAGTGATACCATCTGTGAAGGAGCTGGAATTTCTCTCCAATAAAATCCAATAAAATTTCGTTAAATCGGCTACCGAATTTGAAAAATAATTATTAAATACAGTGGTTTTCCATCCCCAGACAATAACATAATGTATTCAAGGTGGTATTTCTACTTACGAGTGCAATGACCCAACATACGAGTGTTCAGAGAGACAAGCCGCTCGAGGAGCGATTCGTTGCTTCGATGTACGAGCAAAATTCGACATACGAGCTATGCGTGAGTAAGAGGCGCAACGTGAGCTTATAGGGGTGCGAATGAGACAGATTTATCTGGCAGCGGTGTAATCGGTGGACGTATCGCTATTTCTCTTGCGTAATATTAATTGTGCCTTTATTCTTGTGCATTGTGTCAAACTATATATATAAACGCGAGTATATTAAGAATAATTGTAAAAATTGAAATTTTAACTATATGTTAAATTGTGCTGTTAACATATAATGTGAGTACTTTTTGCTTCTTGTAACAATTTATTTACTTTTACCATGGGTCCAAAAAAAAGGGCCATGTCTATTGAATTAAAGCGGGAAATTATTGAAAAACATGAGCAAGGTGTGCGAGTAGTGGACTTGGCGAGGATGTACGAGCGTAGCACGTCAATGATATGTACTGTTTTGAAGCAAAAGGAGTTGCTAAAGAGTATAACTCCAGCTAAGGGCGTTGCAATAATTTCTAAGCTTCGGAGTTCTGTTCATGATGAGATGGAGAAAATATTGTTGGAATGGATGGCCCAGGAGCAGTTTGAAGGAACTACTCTAACACAAAGCATCATATGTGAAAAAGCGCGAGCGATTTACGACGAGTTGCTTAACCAGATGCCAAACAATTCCACAAGCGGAGAACCGGAAGACTCATTTAAAGCTAGTCGCGGCTGGTTCGACAATTTTAAAAGAAGAACCGGAATTCAATCAGTAGCCAAACATGGTGAAGCTGCGAATTCGAACATGAAAGCAGCTGAGGATTATACCCAGTTTTCAGATTTCATACACACCAAAGGATACATACCTCAACAAGTCTTTAAATGTGACGAAAATAGTCATGTAAATACAGAAGAACAGGAGCTGATAAAGGACATAACTCCAGCTAAGAGAGTTACAATCATT